AGCCACTTGCCCGGCAGGGCTCCGTCGCCTTGCTTTTTGTACGCGCGGCCCCGCTGTGCCCGGCCTGCCTCACCCTGGCGTCCCTCCAGGCCTGATGCAAGCGCTTGGCTGCCGGGAAACGGCCTTCGGGGTCGCTTCGGTGGAGCGTTTGGGCCCTGGAAAGGGAGAAGCCGCTGCGTTTGGCGACCCCTTTGTGGGGCAGTAGCCCACTGTGAACCGGTGCGTCTATTTGAGCCGCTGTGCTGGCTCACACCCTGGCCTCCCTCCATCCTCCAGGGCTCCCCAAAAAGTCCCCGGGGGCAAGTGGGTGAGTGGAGGAGAAGGGGATTTGGTGACCTTGCAGGTGGGCCCACGGCCCAGAGGTTTAGCAGCTGAGGGAAGAGGTCAGGAATAGAGCAGCAGGGAACAAATGAGTCACCCGGGCTGGAAATAAACTGGAGCAAAGGCAGCAGGCGCCGAGGGGAGCCGGGCTGCTCGGGCCGTTCGGGGTGGCCGATGTGCTGGTCCTCGGGCAGATCTGGACCTGTTTGGTCTCTCCCGAGGCTCTCTGGAAAGGCTGAGGCTTCCCAAACGCATTGCAGGTGGAAGGCAGAGCAGGGGACGAGCGTGAGGGAGAAGCGGCGACGTGGCCGTGCCCGCCTGGACAGGGGTTTATTCACCCTCGCGAGCTCGAGGAGGCTGGAGGCGAGGGAAAGGAGTCGCTCCTTGCCTAGTAGCACCCGAGGGGCCGTGGCACCACGTCCGCTCACTGTTCCATCCTCGAAACTCAGTCCCTGGCCGAGGTCAGGGTGGGGGCGGGGGACGCAGGAAGCGGCAGGGAAGCAAGAGCCCAAAGAGGAGACGTTCTCCATAATTTATACCACCCCACGTACAAGCTGTATATACGGAGACACGCTCTGGCAGAGGCTCGGGGAAGGTTTCGCGCCCCAGCCTGGCTCCCTGCAGCCCATATCCAGGGCTGAACTGCTCCCGCACCCTCCTTGCATGACCGCGGCTGCAAATCTCACAGGCTCTCCCACCTCTAAGATCTTCCCAAGCTCTGGCAAAGGCTCTGGCTACTGTCGCGAGCCCAAAAATCGGGGCATCCCGAGCCAGGGCTCCCCTCCAGCCTACGGTGCTTAGCGCAGAGCAGGATGCGTCTGGGGCTCTTCTCTCCACGGCCAAGGATGTCTGCCCATGAACGGGCGTCGCGTCCGAGTGGATATGCACCGCTTCCCGCGGGTTTTGCCCCAAGGAGGAGGTTCGTGCCTCGAAGGGAGCTGCAGGTGTCGGAGAGGGGATGCTGCTGTGCCTCCTGGAGCGGCCTGCCTAGGATGCTGGCTGGTTCTGCCAGGAGCGGAGGCGCGATCCTGTCCTGGGACCTCCTCCCCTGAGCTCACGCAGCTAAATAAATACCCGTGTTAGCCCAAACGCTACCCAAACATCATCTACAAGGGACGGCTGTGCTCCTGCGTCTACATCTAGAGCGATGCCAGGCCAGGGCGGCTCGGGGGAATTAAGCCTTTCTGGTGTGATCCGGCCCGTTTCCCTCCCCAAAATCCCCCCCCGCGCACGCCAGCCGCTCAGATTTTGATCTCAGTCCGGAAGGTCTGCTGGACGTGCTCGGTGTGTTTGGCGGGGCGCCGGAGTCGGGGTGTGTTGGGCGGGCTGCCGACGGGCCCGGATGGTCAGCGTGCCGTCGTCTGCCAGCGAGGAGGACACGGACGTGGGGTCCACGTCATCGGGCAGCTGGCATTTGTGGGTGAAGGTGTTCATGACGGTGCCGTCGCCGGCCAGCTGCAAAGGGAAGGGAAAACAGATTTGAGGCGGATGCCGGTGGGCTGGGGACTTGCCGTTCCTCGTCCTGGGAACAAGCCAGCCCAGGGTCCTGGTTTAGGGGTGGCCCCGGGGCCGGCACGAGGAGGCCAAGGAAGGAGGGGAGCCTTCACCTTCTCGGCGTGCACCTCAATCTGGTTGTTGGAGGTGGTGACGATGATGTCCTCAGGGGCGAAGTCACTGACGTCCACCGTGAACTGGTAGGTGTTGCCCAAGGTCTTGATGTTGCCCGCGCTGCCGGGCCGAGCTGCGGGAGAGGAGAGGCGCTCGAGACCTCCGCGGCGGTTGAGAGCCCGGTCTTTCCGCCTCCCCCCTCTGCTCCCCTACATGCCACGGCACAGGCGGACGCTGTTCGGGACGAAGGTCCCGAAAAGCTCCATGGGGCGGGCGGGAGACGGTGACGGGCTCTGATGGAAGCTGCTCTCTGAGCGGAAAGCCGAGGAGGACTTCAAGTTCATCCACCGCCGCAAGCGCTTGTGGGGAAAGCGGGGAGCAAAACAGCGGAGAAAGAGAAGCAAAAGCAGCAAGTGCAACCCCAGAGGTGCTGCCCTGGAAAGCCTCACAATGCCCGGAGGGGAAACACGGCTCCGAGATGCGAACGGGCAAGATTTGCAGACGGAGCCGTTGAGTTCAGAGGCGGCTGCTGAGCTTATAAAGCCCTGTTAGGCTCTCGGCTGCCTTCCAGACCTCTTGTAAAACAGGCTAAATTTAGGTCCTGCTACATCACTCCGGAGAGTGTGGAAATTTTCCTCTCCCCCCCCGCCTCCTCTCCTCCCGATCCCGTCTGCAAACAAGCAGCGAAGGGAGGAATCTGATCCCATTGCTGGCGTTCCTGCCCGCCTGGATAATGCAGCTCCCGGTGGCCCTGGGGACCGGCTTCCCAAAAAAAGGAAGATGGGGAAGAGAGTGCAAGGTGCCGGCAAAGGAAAAAGCTGAGGGATGCGACTTGCTGGGGATGGGGAAGGGGCTGCCGGAGAGGCTGGCAAAGCATTTCCCACACTCGCTTCTCCCTCCTGGCCTGGCTTGGGTTTCAGGGCAGTGTGGGGAGGTTTTGGGGCTGCCCCGGAG